GAGGAGGGTGTTCATCCCCCTCCCCCCGCCCGCCTCCACCCGTCCTTCGCGCGGCGAGCCCGCGCGGGCGCGGCGCGAGCCTCCTGGGGACCTCATCGGAGGCAGCGGCGCGCGCAGGACCCTGCGACGCCTCGCCGTGCCTCGATCGGCCCACCTCTCCTCGAAGAAGCAGCAGCACAAACATCGGATCGGCGTCGGGCCCTGGGGAGAGGGTTGCCCTTTCTCCCTCCTCGCTCGTCTTCGGCAGCTCGGCACCCCCCTGGCTGCGCGCCTCCCTGGGGGGCCGCCTAGCATGGGCCCAGCGCGGGGAGCGCCCGAACGGCCACCCGTGTTGCTGGCGAGGCCAAGCTGCAGAAGCGGCGCGCAGAGCTCGTCGCTCCCACGGGGGGGCTTCTCGGCCTGGAGCCCCGCTGCGGTGCCTCGCCTTCGCCGTCGGCAGCGCGCCCGTGCTCCCCGCGCCTCCGCGGGGCTGCCCGCTCGTCGGGCCGTGCGCTCCTGCCCGCCGCCGCTCACCGCTCGCCCGCCGCCTCGCCTGCTGCGCGTCCCCTGCTCTCGGCGCGCTCGGGCGCTCCTGGCACGGCCAGGGAGGTCGAAATGGGGACCACCTCTTGAGCTCAGGGGGGGGTCCGGTGTTCGGGTCTCTCCTCGGATCCAGGTTGGGGGGCCGATCGCTGAGGCTTTACGGCCTGTGCCGCGGACGCTGCTTGCACGGCCAATGAGGTTGAAATTGGGACCACCTTTGAGCTCAGGGGGGGCTCTGGTGTTCGGCTCTCTCCGCAGATCCAGGCTAGGGAGCCGTTCGCTGGGGCTTTACGGCCTGTGCCGCCGATCCTGGGCGACAGCCCCCCTACAAAGGAAGAGACCTTCGGGAAGATCGGGGCCAGACGCTCCCAAGAGTGCTAAAGAGGCTACACGAGGCCCAGATGAGGTGCCCAAGAACCCCACGAAGTGTCGGGTGCGTCTTGGGAGCCTTTTAGGAGACTCCTGGAGCTTCCTGGCGGTTCCTTGGGGGCGTCTGGGGGCCTCGTGGGGGCCTCTTGGGCCCCGGGGCCCCCCGGGGGGATGGTATTCTGACCTGCCGGGGACCACCTAGGACCACCTCTTGGGACCATCCCCTGGGACCCCGCTGGGGACCCGCCCCCGAAGGGGCTTCCATTGGACTCAACTGCGACGTTGCTCAATTTCACTTAGGCTGTTCCGATTTGGCTGGCGCGCTCAAGGGGGAGGGCCCAGGGACAATGGGGAAACGACGACGGCGGCGGCGGCCGCGGCGGCCGCGGCTGCGGCGGTGGCGGCGGCGGCGACGGCGACGGCGACGACGATGACGACGACAACGACGACGAGTCAAACGTAACAGCCTCTCGCACACGCTGGCAGGGTCCGCGGGTTCGTGGCCGAAGCTTGCCGCGACCAGAACTGCTCCTTCGTGCCTTACTCTAGGCGGCGACCCCGGGGGGAAGTGAGAAGTGGCGGGCCTTCTCAGAAGGCTCGGACGTCCCCCGGCCTTCTGAGAGGTGTTCTGATCCTTCCCCGAAGGCACGACATTCCTTCCAGAAGGCGCGAGGGTGTCTGAGAAGCCCCGCCCCCTTCTGAGAGTCACCGAGCGCGTTCCACTACTCGCAAAGTGCCTGCTCGCAAACGTCCGAAGAACACATCGTCGCCTCGACGTGGGGGGTCCTGAGTCCCCCGCGGCGGATCCGGGCCAGTTGTGAGCCGCTGCTGTGCGAGCAGTGGAGCGCGCTTGTCCAGAGAGGGCCTTCTCCTTCTCGCCTTCCCGCCCCCCCCGCTCGCCGCCGGTGTTCGGCGCTGCCCGTGGAAGCGCGATGGCTGCGGCCCCGCTCTCGGCCCTTCGCCCCGCGAGGCCCGAGGCGCAAGGATCGAAGCTCGGGGCTCGGCCTCCCCAGCAGCCTCCCCGGGGGCCCTCGGGCGGCCTCGCCCTTCCCTCCCTCGCGTTTTCTCCCTCCTCGCCTACTCCCCTTCCCCTCCTCTCCAGCCATCGTCTCCGTGCCTCCGCCGTTCGTCTCACTCTCTCGCTTCTTCTCCTCCCTCGCCCCCCTTTTCTTCTCCCGCCTCCGGGCTCCCTCCTCTTCCCCCTTCCTCGCCCCTCTTCTCCGTTCCTTCTCCCTTCTCCTCCCTCCACCTCCCCCCTCCCTCCTCCCTCATCTTGGCGGCACGCAAAGCTTAGCCCGCGATGCAGCCCAAAAGCCTGCCCCCCCCCCCCCCCTCGCTTGTCCTCCTCCCTCCCGCCTCGCCCACTCCCTCCCCCCTCAGTGGTTCCCTCTCCCGCCTCTCTACGCCAGGACGGTCGGCATGGTTTCAAAGACCAACAGCATCTCCTGCTGAATTTGGAAAAGACTCGGTGTCGGTGTTGCCGCGGACGTTGTCTATTTGAGACAGCGCCTGCCCAACAGCGGCCGCTGGGTTTTGGACATGTTGGACAACATTTGGTGTCGAGCATTGTGCCTATGCTTTCCGTACCCCTTTGGGCGTTTCCAAACTA